TTTTGTATCCTGCCACGCTACCAAATTGCTGTATGAGTTCTAGCAATCTTGGGGTGGAGGTTTTGGGTTTTCTATGTAGAGTATCATGTCATCGGCGAAGAGGGAGAGTTTGACTTCTTCTTTGCCAATTTGAATGCCTTTAATGTCTTTTTGTTGTCTGATTGCTGAGGCTAGGACTTCCAATACTATGTTGAATAGCAGTGGTGAGAGTGGACATCCCTGTCTTGTTCCTGATCTTAGGGGAAAGGCTCCCAGTGCTTCCCCATTGAGAATGATATTTGCTGTGGGCTTTTCGTAGATGGCTTTTAAGATGTCGAGGAAAGTTCCCTCTATCCCTACACTCTGAAGAGTTTTGATCAGGAATGGATGCTGTATTTTGTCAAATGCTTTCTCTGCATCTAATGAGAGGATCATATGGTTCTTGGTTTTTCTCTTGCTGATATGATGAATCACATTGATTGTTTTACGAGTGTTGAACCAGCCTTGTGTCCCGGGGATAAATCCTACTTGGTCATGGTGAATAATTTTCTTAATGTGTTGTTGGATCCTATTGGCTAGTATCTTGTTGAGAATTTTTGCATCCATGTTCATTAGGGATATTGGTCTGTAATTCTCCTTTTTGGTGGGGTCTTTGTCTGGTTTTGGAATTAAGGTGATGCTGGCCTCATAGAACGAATTTGGAAGTACTCCATCTCTTTCTATCTTTCCAAACAGCTTTAGTAGAATAGGTATGATTTCTTCTTTAAACGTTTGATAGAATTCCCCTGGGAAGCCATCTGGCCCTGGACTCTTGTGTCTTGGGAGGTTTTTGATGACTTCTTCAATTTCCTCCCTGGTTATTGGCCTGTTCAGGTTTTCTATTTCTTCCTGCTCCAGTTTTGGTAGTTTGTGGCTTTCCAGGAATGCGTCCATTTCTTCTAGATTGCCTAATTTATTGGCGTAGAGCTGTTCATAATATGTTTTTAAAATCGTTTGTATTTCCTTGGTGTTGGTAGTGATCTCTCCTTTCTCATTCATGATTTTATTAATTTGAGTCTTCTCTCTCTTCTTTTTAATAAGGTTGGCTAATGGTTTATCTATCTTATTAATTCTTTCAAAGAACCAACTCCTGGTTCTATTGATCTGTTCCACAGTTCTTCTGGTCTCAATTTCGTTGAGTTCTGCTCGAATTTTAATTAACTCTCTTCTTCTGCTGGGCGTCGGGTCGATTTGCTGCTTCTTCTCTAGCTCCTTTATGTGTAAGGTTAGCTTTTGTATTTGAGTTATTTCCAGTTTTTGAATGGATGCTTGTATTGCGATGTATTTCCCCCTCAGGACTGCTTTTGCTGCATCCCAAAGGTTTTGAACAGTTGTATCTTCATTCTCATTAGTTTCCATGAATCTTTTTCATTCTTCCTTAATTTCCTGGTTGACCCTTTTATCTTTTAGCAGGATGGTCCTTAACCTCCACGTGTTTGATGTCCTTCCAAACTTCTTCTTGTGATTGAGTTCTAATTTCAAGGCGTTATGGTCTGAGAATATGCAGGGGACGATCCCAATCTTTTGGTATCGGTTCAGACCCGATTTGTGACCCAGTATGTGGTCTATTCTGGAGAAAGTTCCATGTGCACTTGAGAAGAATGTGTATTCAGTTGAGTTTGGATATAAAGTTCTGTAGATATCTGTGAAATCTATCTGGTCTAGTGTATCATTTAAAGCTCTCGTTTCTTTGGAGATGTTGTGCTTAGAAGACCTATAGAGGGTAGAAAGAGCTAGATTGCAGTCACCAAGTATAAGTGTATTATTATCTAAGTATTTCTTCACTTCGGTTAATAATTCGTTTAAGTATTTGGCAGCTCCCACATTCGGGGCATATATATTGAGGATTGTTAAGTCCTCTTGCTGGATAGATCCTTTAAGTATGATATAGTGTCCCTCTTCATCTCTCACTACTGTCTTCGTGGTACATTTTAGTTTATCTGATATAAGGATGGCTACCCCTGCTTTCTTTTGAGGACCATTTGAATGGTAAATGGTTCTCCAACCTTTTATTTTCAGGTTGTAGGTGTCCTTCTGTCTAAAATGAGTCTCTTGTAGACAGCAAATAGATGGGTCCTGCTTTTTTATCCAGTCTGAAACCCCAGGGTCCAATTTTTAAAGGTAGAACCAAGAAAGGGTAGGACTGGAATCCAGATTTCTGATGCTCCGGTTTTCTTTCCAATGCACTATGTTGCTGAATTACTTTTTTTAAAGTCAAAGAGAGTATTCCCAAGAAATAACTGGATTTCTGAGTCACAAGGATCAGAGTTGTAAGTTTTTATATGCAGCTGAGCCCCAGCCTACAATTGTTCTAGCAAGAAAATTTTTATAATTAGAAATAGCTCACATTTGTCATGCTGACCCCTCAGAAAGAAAAATATAATTACCTGCACTCTTTGAGTTGGGGCATTGATCCTAGACTTAGAAGTATTAGCCTGAAACTGCACATTTGTTTAAAAGAAAAGGCAGCAAGTGGGCTCATGATGATTAATTTAAGTCTGCATTAGAAATGAAAATCTGTCCCCATTAAGAGGGACAGAGGGTGTGTCCTGCCCACACTTATTTGAAAACAGGGTTTATTGAAAGTGACACATTTTTCAGATACCAAGATTATACACATATATCGTTTCTTCACGTGTCAGATGCCATATACATCGCTTTGTGTATAACCACAGTATTTACATCCAGCATAATTTAAGAAACTCATGTTTTCAGACACATCAAGTCATCATGGAAATGCAAATCAAAACCACAATGAGGTATCACCAACACCTGAATGGCTAGACTAAAAAAAGACAAGAAGTGTTGGTGATGATGTGGAGAAATAGGAACACTTGTGCACTGTGGGTGGGACTGTAAATGGGTACAGCTGCTGTGGAAAACAGCGTGGAGGGTCCTCTATTAAACATAGCCACACCGGGGATCCCGGGGGGCTCGGCGGTTTAGCGCCTGCCTCCGGTTCAGGGCGTGATCCCAGGGTCCCAGGATCGAGTCCCACATCGGGCTTCCTGCATGGAGCCTGCTTCTCCCTCTGCCTGTGTCTCTGCCTCTCTCTGTGTCTCTCATGAGTAAATAAAATCTTAAAACAAAACATAGCCATACCATGTGATCTAGTAATTCCACTACTGGGTATCTACCCAAAGGAAATGAAAACACTAATTCAAAAAGATACACGCACCCTGTATTTACTGTGTTATTTACAACACCAAGATGTGGAAGCAGCCCAAGTGTCCATTAATGGATGAATAGAGATGTGAAATGACAGCCAAGATTCATGGTTTGCTTGTTTTAATTAATTTGAGAAAAAGTGCACTAGTGGGGGAAGGGGCAGAGGGAGAGAATCTCAAGCAGACTCTACGCTGGGTGTGGAGCCCAATGTGGGGCTGGATCTCACAACCCTGAGATCGTGACCTGAGCTAAAACCAAGAATCAGACATTCAGCTTGTCTGAGCCAAGTGCCCTAGGTCATGGTTTACACTTGGTTAGGCTCTTAGGCCTTCTTAAAGCAGGAACAGGATCACCTCCATTCTATTGCCTTGTTTTTAAGAGATCAGATTATTTATATCTGAATGTTAGATCGTTTCTTCATGATGGCATTTAGCTTGTTTATCCCGTGTTTCCTATAAACTAGATGATAAAGCCCGTCTTCATCAGGTTCATATTTAATGTTTTTGACGATCATGCTTCATAGGTGGTCCTACTTCCTACTGTGTCACACCAGGGGGCACATGTATGTTCTACTATTGGTGAGGCTAGGCTTGAGTAGTGTTCCCATTCTCACTTGCTGTACAATAAACTGCAAAAACAGTATCTTTAAACCACTAGAATCACTTACTTTTTATGATTTCTGTGAGTCCTGAATTCAGTCAGAGCACAGTGGGGGCAGCTTGTCTTGGCTCCTTGATGCCTGGGACCTCAGCAAGAATACCTGAATGTTGACGGCTGGGATCATTTGTTCCCATGACTGCTGGTGCTGGCAGTTATTGCAGCCTCTCCATGTAACCTGGGCTTTCTCCCAACATGGTGACAAGGTTCCAAAGACAAGCATCCCAAGAAACAGATGGAACTCACATTGTCTTTAATAGCTAGCTTGGAAATCATGCAGTGGCATTTCCTCTCCATCTTACTGGCTGAGGCTACAAGGATACACCCAGAGGCAAAGGGAGGGAACAAGGTTCTTATCTCCTGGAAGTGTTGATACCACATTGAAGGAGTATGTTGGGGCAGCGGGGGGTGGGGGTGGGGGGTGGGGGGGGTGGGGGGGTGGGTGTACGGTCCCTTCCATCTCTGTAATACACAATCTGCTACAAGGAGTGACAGCTAGATTCTCTTCATGGAAGATTATATCTACCTCTTTGTCTTAGCAAGGAAGACAAGATCCACATCTAGACATACAAACCTAATGAAGCCAAAAGGAGCTGAGGGGATACCATACAGTTATGGAAATGTAAAAGGGGACACAGCATCCTAAGGAGAGGTCAGAAAGGACAGTGGCTGTGATGTACCATAAACACTTTCAACTAGACTATGTTACCTACAAAAAAACATTTTATCTATGAATAGCCAACTTAAAAATTAACCAACCCAGAACCTTTCAGTAACAGATGAAAAACTTCACAGGTAAAAATTAGTATCTCAGTATAGAAGCCTCATGGGCTCCCAGGCTCATGGGCTCGTAGGGTTAGGAGGTATGAAGCCAGGCCCCAGGCTCAGTTGGCACCCAGCTGGTGACAGCCAGCCAGAATCCATCCCCTGCAGCAGACAGCCATCAGAAGGGACAGTTCTCCCAAAGTTCTGGAGAGAGCCATGCTGTGGGGTCCACAGACTGCAGAGGAAAGGAGCTTGAGGCTGTAAGCTACCAGAGAGAAGACGGAGGGCAAAGAACAAGGGCTGCATCTGAGGGCAGAGCCCCAAGACCACAAGATGCATCCAAAATTAGATTTTTAAAAATGTTATTTTCAAAAATAAGAACGAGCCTGTCATTTTGCTTGAAAACTGTCTTTATTACTCTTTGATGAACACAAGTCTACCAATGTAAGCCCAGATTAATGTAACAAATTACATGCTCATGATTAGGGACTAATTGCTCACCTCGGTACCCATTCTACAAGAATTAGACACATTTATTGCCACAGTTGTTCACTATGAGTTTTAGGAAGAAATAGTTCAAGCAGATAAAGTGTTTTTTTTTTTACAAAGAAAAATCAAGCAAGACTTAAAACTGCAAAGTAAAGGGATAATGCCATTGTTTTCAAATGAAGAAAGACATGAAATACTAAACACACCTACATTTAAATTAGGAAGAAAGGATAACACTATGTCGTGCCTATAACACAGTTATCACAGTGACAGTAGGAACCAGGCCACCGGGCCTAGGACAGGATTTTTCCCTCTGCTACAAGGATCAACCTGCCCAGCAGATAGCACAGACGGTGGTGGTCAGCTTTCCATGTCAACCTGCCTGACTGGCCATGGGGTGCCACATTACACCTTATTTCTGGACGCATCTGTAAGGCTGTTTGGACTCAGCAGACTGCTGTCCCCAGTACAGGTGGGCATCATCCAATCTGTGAGTGACCTGAATACAATCAAAAGTGGAGGGAAGAACTCACTTTGTTTCTTCCTGCCTCACTGCTGGAGCCGTCACATCTCATCTTCCCTGGTTCTCAGGCCTTCAGACTAGGACTGAATTACACATGGGCTTTTCTGGGTCTCCAGCTTGCAGACGGCAGGTTGGGGCACTTCTCAGCCTCTGTGATCACATGGACCAATCTGCCATCATGCCCCTCTGTGTGTATCTCCTATTGGTTTTGCATCTCTGGAGAACAAGGACTAAAACACATATAGCCAGGTACTCCCTCTAAGTGCGGAGAGAAACATCCTAAATTCTTGCAATCCAACCCCCCCCCCCTCCATTTTCCAGGACAACTATCAAACTACTTACAATGTTATTTTATCATCTCTTTCATTTCATTCATCATTATATACCTAGCACAGAGGCTCCTCTGGTAGGGGGTTAAATAGGTGCTGAAAGATAAGTGAATTTTAAAATATATCTGCTTTATTTACTAAAAAGTTTTATTTTTATAGGAAACTATATTAAAAAAAAAAGCCAAAGAAATCATATATAAAGAAATTACATACAAGGCAGCTCCAGGAGTGGCCTCTATACCCTATAGTTGGCCAGACCATAAGACTTCAGGTTATAACGTATCTGGTGAGGCCGCCCCCTCGGATCTCTGAAAGCCTCCGGCAATGTCGTAAGATATTCAGTATCACATGAAACCGCTTGTCGGCTTTCAAAGCTGTGAACTCTTTTATATCAGCTTCCACTATGAAATATTGACCTGAAAATAAAGAGAGTAGTGTTCATTTTCATAAGGATAACTATCAAGATGAGTCTTTGATGCATTACGTTTGTAAACACAAGTAACATTGTGCCATTGGTCATTGACCATTTTTACTATCATTAGGCAACCAAAGTGAGAACAGGTACTCTTGCTAAAATAATCGGTATTCTCTCAGCCGAAGTTGCATAGTGTTTACTGCAGCATTTCAGAAACTGCCTATTATATTACTGGCTCACTGTTGGTCTCTTCTGAACACGTAACTTTTCGAGATGAAATATGGCCTAGTGCTTCAGGGACTGAAACTGCCAGCAGTTCTGTCCCCTAACTGGCTGCCCGTGGGCAAGTAACTGATGCTTTCTCTGCCTCGTCTGAGAAACGGGGGTAACCATACGTGTCCCTAAGGTGTGAGGACTAGAGCTCTCGGTATACTACCTGGCACACGGCGAATACTGTATTAGCAGCCAAACTATTTCCATTACAACTCTAATTCTGAAAACACTGGGTAAAGTCTCATAATACACTCTAAAGCAGTGTTCCTCAGCCTTGAAGCTACAGACATTTGGAGTTCTCTGCCTCTTTCCGTGAAGCGGTCTTGGGCACTGTAGTCAAGTACACTTTAGCAGCGTCAGTAGTCTCTAGATGCCAGTAGCAGCCCCAGCACCAGCCGTAACAACCAAAAACGTCTCCGGAGAGGGCAAAAACGTGCCCCCATGGGAAAACCACCCCTGGCTGAGAATGACCCCTCTAGATTCAGAGTTTTCTAGAATTTGTTTTCTCATGATTTAGTTATACTCCAAACAGCTGACGTGCACACATATATATGCTATCATTCTTACCTTTGGTATCCTTTGTTTCTTCGTCAATAAATCTGTGATAAAGATTTCTGGCCACGGAACTCATAGACTTTTTTGGTTGATGTAGAATCTTGTATTTACTAACTACTGCCTTGTTGATTTCTTTAACAACATCATTAATTTGACAATAGGTTAAGCGGGATTTCATGTACCTGCAAATAAGTATATGATTAACTTTTTCAAAGAATCATTTTACAAAATTATTTTCTTTGAAAGATGTTTATGCTTATACACAAGCCAAGCTGGTAGAACTCTTCACAAAACAAAATGTATAGGGGCGCCTGGGTAGCTCAGTTGGTTTAGTGTTTGACTTTTTTTTTAGCACAGGTCATGATCTCTGGGTCATGAGATGTAACCCCAGATCCGGCTCCACACTCAGTGAATGCAGGGAGTTGATCTGAGATTCTCTTTCTCCCTCTCTGTCCTACCTCCTCCAAATAAATAAGTCTTTAAATATACATATTTGGGATGCCTGGGTGGCTCAGTGGTTGAGAGTCTGCCTTTGGCTCAGGGTGTGACCCTGGGGTCCTGGGATCGAGTCCCACATCGGGCTCCCTGCAGGGAACCTGCTTCTCCCTCTACCTGTGTCTCTGCCTCTCTCACGAATAAATAAAATCTTAAATATATATATATATATATATATATAAAATATATAAAAATAATATACAGACACCAACTTCCACATAAACCAGACATATCTCAACAGCTAAAAAATTAAATAGAACCACAATGTATCAGTCAACTTTCCTATATGTACCTGGATGTATTCATCTCTACTCTCTACCTAGAGACTTAATACTGCAATTTGAAATAGGGTCTTAAGTACTGGTTAACTAGAAGACAGAACTTTAAACATTATACAGCACTTTCCTTAAAATTACAGCAAAACCGAGGCTACTTTTAAATGTAACTGGATAAATCTATATCATAAAACAGTCCTCGAGAAGACTCTGCAATAAACGGACCCATCTCTAGATCTTGCACTGAAAAGTTTTAGAACCAAATAAAAAACATGATTTTAAGCATCTTCAACAAGAAATTTCCTGCATTTTCATAGTGCGATGTAATACTATTCTGGAAAAGATCAACATCTGAACACAGCATGCTATGAAAAAAATCAAGCTTTAAGATGTAAACAATCACGTATGTTGACCACTGAAGAGTTAAAGGTTAAAATTCTATCTTGAATACTTACGCTGGAATGCCATTAAATTCATCAGAAGTTATAAATGGCATTTCTTTAATACTTCTTTGTTCTTTGGGGGGCTTCTTTGTGGGTGCAGGTTCCTCAACTTTGACTGGTTCTTCAGGGTCAAGGTCTGACACATTAGCTCTACGAACAGAGATACACAAACAGATGGACAAGTGATCACCAGAATTTTGCAGCACACTACAAAGTTTTCCCAACTGAACATAATCAGTAATAAATACAAGATTTATTGTTATAATAATGTTACAGCCAACACTTTTTGCTGCCAGTACTCCTACTGTTCATGAAGATCTGAAGAGTAAAGAGAACACTGAAAAATTAAGCCCCCAAATCCTCAGTAACAGAATTCTAAAACACAGGTGTATGCAGTACCTATGCTAAACATCTTCATCAGTTATCCCACTGGCTCCTCAAAGTCACTATGTGTAAAGTTGATCTTAACCTCTCAACAGCTTCTCTTCCTGACCCTGTAATTTTGGACACAGAATCAAGTCATTTTATACTTCTCTAATTTATCCCACTGAATAATATATCCCAACAGTCCCTGCCTGTTGCAGACTCATTTTAGTTGCCAGCAATGAGCATGGAACTCTTAGATTCAGTCCTACCCAATTTTTGGAGTCAGTTGAGAAGCCTAATACAGCTTCTACCCCATTAACTAAAAGTCTAGAAATAGGCTGTAGCTTCTGGGTTATTTGGCTGCCAGGGAAGGAACAGACCCTTGTTGGTAGCAGTAAGTGAAGCCATGGCTGGCTCGACTGCTCCAAAAAAATAAATGAGACACAGGAAAGAGTAGATCCAACCCAGGAGCAAGTGAAGGGAATCCCAAGACAGGGAGATGAGCTCCCAAGAGGACAGCTGAACACCAAGCACAGGGCAACCAGGTCCAAGTGAGGTGCTATGAGTGAGGCCGGCCACAATGTAGGCGCCCAAGATGAAGATGCCCAACACTATGGTACCATCAACCTTCCATGAGGGTAAGAGGAGAGAGACTTCATGGTGAGTCTGGCTGATTCTTATCTGTGTTCGCTTGTCTTCACCAGATCCTAAGGAAGCTTCTGAGTTTTTTCCTTCATGCCCTTTCAGCTGTTATCATCTGAAAATAATCATTTCCACCTATAAAAAGGTTCTGCTCTAACCTCTGCTGAAAGCTGAAAATAAGCCACACTGAGGTCAGAAGAAGGAAATTCTGACTGTTCCCCAGGCCATATTCCTGCTGGATGTCTGATGTCCCACCCACACAATCCTGGCAGATCTCCTGTGATTGCCTGTTCCTGGCATTCATTCAGCACCTTGCCCATCACTTCCTCCTGCAGGCAACCTGCAGGGGACCCTGATCATGCCAGGCACTTGTATCTTCTCCTGGAGAACTTCAACCATGAGCAGTACTGTGGTTCTCCTACAGCCAGGCTCCTGCCTGCCTTCTAGTTCTTCAAACGTAAGCAGTATATCGTTTATAGAAACATACATACAAGGGTAGGATTATCATAACCAGCAGGATGACTGCCTCTTTGATAAAGGAAGGGTCTGTAAGAGAGGAGGGCTGTAAGGTACAACCTTACAGGGACAGACCGGAGGTACCGAGTTCCCGCTGGGGGTCAGGAGGTGGCAGGCGTGATGGCTGGGTAACATGGAACAGAGAAGTTTGGCCTTAGATGTGCAGAGCTCGAGAGGACAGCTTGTGCATTAGGCTCCCAGCAAGCAATTAAAGCAGCAGGCGTCACGTTAAGGCTGGAGCTGGACATCTGAGAGCACTGATGGTGGTGTGAGGTCAGCGTGAGCCAGACGTAGCTTCAGGACACACCCGATATTTGGAGGAGGGCAGAGAAACAGGAGACGCAGGACAGTGAAGCACCACGGTGGACAGAACACAGAATTCCAGAAACAGAGAGACAGTGAAATAAAACCTGAAAAGAAGGATCAGGACTGAAGGGGATTTTTCTGTCCGTTCCCTAAGTGTGGTAGTAACAGCAGCCCAGAGATGGGTTTAGGGGTCTGGGGAAAGGGGAGGCATGAACATATACTGGCAGGGAACAGACAGCGGCCACCAGTTTGAGGGGGACAGTGAAGCTAAGTTTTTTTTCTTCCTTTGGCTGTTTTTAAGATGGGACGTTTATTCAGCTTATTTTTACCCTAAGACACTGGTTCTTGGGGGTCAGGGGAGAATGTGTCACCAGAGGACGTAGGCAATGTCTGAAGACACTGTTTATTGTCACGGGGGGGCAAGGAAGGAGGGGGTGTGGATGACACCTAGGTGGGAGGCAGAGACTGGGGGTGCTACCAAACATCCTCACTATCCTAACAAAGGATTATCTGGCCTAAGGGAGCCGAGGTTGACAAACTGCTCAGAGGGAAAGAAATGAGAAGTGGGAAAAGCGAGCCTAGCAGATGCTTGTCTGTGGGAAAGAGGGGTGACGAGCTCCGCAGAGACAGTCAGAAGACTGGTACAGACACAGAGAAACGAACAAACACTAACGTGATCACTCAAACCATCCCAAGTACAGGAAAAAGCGACAGGAGTTGAGGTGTTTTAAGAGTTTTCTAGATGCAGAGAGCAAGAATAATTATAAAGACACTTACAGGTTCTGGTTCTGGCTGACTGTTATTTGAGGTAAATGGGGAGGAATGTTTTCCTTGAGATGTTCCACATCTTCATAATCCTCTTCAAGAGATTCACAGAGTTCCTAAAATTTAAAAAAAAAAAAAAAAAAAAAAAACTCCCAAATTAGTGTCTGTCCTGCCTGTGTGGGTTTGTTCCCTTGAGAGAGAGAGAGAGAGAGAGAGAGAGAGAAAGAGAGAGAGAGAGATGGAGCGCACCAGGTGGGGGCAGGGGCAGAGGCTCAACCGACTGAGCCCCCCAAGCACCCCTGCCTGTGTTTTTAGACTTTTTTTTTAAGATTTATTTATTCAGAGAGAGAGAGAGAGAGAGGCAGAGACATAGGCAGAGGGAGAAGCAGGCTCCATGCAGGGAGCCTGATGTGGGACTTGATCCTGGGTCTCCAGGATCACACCCTGGGCTGCAGGAGGCACTAAAGCACTGCGCCACCGGGGCTGCCCTAAGAGCTGTTTTTGGATGACAATCTAGCAGCTTTCTCTACTGGTTTTCAGAGAACCGTTATAATCACATTACAACAGGGACAGCTGACATTTAACTTCAAATATATAAAGGATTTATGTTTGTCCTTCTGGTGAATTACTTTTGTTGGCTTTGCACACATTTCCCAGTGTCATCTAGATAGCGGTGCCAGGGTGACGATGCGTGCCCACGGTGCATATTTGAGACGCTATTTGGAGCTGCCATTGCTGACATGCACATACTTGAGCTTCACGGAGATTTCCACTGGATCATCACTGCTTTTTGTTCTGTGTTGTCTTTACCTTTCACTAGAACCTGAGGCTCTGAACTCATGCAAATTATTTTTCAAAAGATTTTATTTGAGAGAGAGCGAGCCCAAGTGAGAGAGAAAGCACAAGTGGAGTGAGGGGAAGAGGGGGAAGCAGACCCACTGCTGAGCAGGGAGCCCCACATGGGGCTCCACCCCAGGACCCTGGGGTCATGACCTGAGCCAAGGCAGACAGTGAACTGGCTGAGCCACCCAGGCACCCCCTCGTGCAAATTTAATAAGAAAAATACTCTGTACCTTTGGATTCCTGTCATCTGATTCTCAATTGTACTATGAAAAAAAAAAAAGAATTCTAAATAGCCTTCAGTTCTGGATTTAACATTCTCTAAGCACACACTAAACCCTCTTTCTAAAGCACTCTTGGGTAGGTTAGAACTGAAACCATATTCGTTTGTTCTAAATTGACAGGACACCTTTCTTTCGAAGAGCTGAATGATGTTCAAAGCCAACAATTTCATTTCAACTGATAGTAGGTCAGGCATACTCATGCCCACTCCCATAGCTGAAAAATCTTTACAGATCCTAAGGATTATAAGGCTGAGACGGACCACAGAGGCCACCTTGTTCAATCCCACTCAATGTGTCAATGGCTCTAACAACATGAAGTAACTATGTACAGACTGCATATTTTCCCAGAAGTACAGACACTTTCATTAGCTTAGTCAATCAGAAAGCTTATTTAGAACAAAATGTGTGAATGAGACTCAAGTTTTTTACTTGAGAATCATGACATTACATTTTTATTTTTTTATCTTATTTTTTAAAAGATTTTATTTATTTATTCCTGGGAGACAAAGAGAGAGAGAGACACACACAGGCAGAGAGAGAAGCAGGCTCCATGCGGGGAGCCCAATGTGGGACTCGATCCTGGGACTCCAAGACCACGCCCGGAGCCGAAGGCAGATGCTCAACCCCTAAGCCACCCAGGTGTCCCTGACATCACATTTTTAAAAGAGATTGGGAATAGAAGGGACCTAAGAAATAGTTCAGTGTGACCCATTTTTTTCCAAATGAGTACAAGACCCCCAGAGGTAGACTGGCTTTCTCAGGGTGGCAGAGGGTGCTAAAGGGAACCAGGGCAAGATGCCCATTTTCTCGCCCCTAGGTGTTCCTTCCACACCACTCTATCAGATCACTAACTTACCAAGAATTACTTAGGAAATCTTCCCTTTTTATTACAGTTCCATTTCTTTGGGTACCACCAGAAAAACAGAAACACTTGGGGAGCTCTGGCATCCTTTACACTAGTAAGATACAATGCAAGTGGCGCTTTATTTTATTTTATTTTTTTAAATTTTTATTTATTTATGATAGTCACAGAGAGAGAAAGAGAGAGAGGCAGAGACACAGGCAGAGGGAGAAGCAAGCTCCATGCACCAGGAGCCCGATGTGGGATTTGATCCCGGGTCTCCAGGATTGCGCCCTGGGCCAAAGGCAGGCGCCAAACCGCTGCGCCACCCAGGGATCCCTATTTTATTTTTTTTTAAGATTTTATTTATTCATGAGAGACACACACAGAGAGAGAGAGAGAGGCAGAGACACAGGCAGAAGGAGAAGCAGGCCCCATGCACTGGGAGCCCGACATGGGACTCGATCCCGGGTCTCCAGGATCAGGCCCTGGGCCAAAGGCAGGTGCCAAACCACTGCGCCACCCAGGGATCCCGCAAGTGGCGCTTTATACCATTAATGATGATTTACAAAGCTAAGAACATTTTAAATTTCAAGAATCCTTCAGAATTCCCTGGTGATTAGGATTGCCCTTTCATCTTTTTTTTTTTTTTTTGCTGGAAAAACATTACCTTGAGTGAATGGTTGGTTTGCTCTTGATACTGAATCTCCGATTCCAATTTATTTAGAAGTTCATTTACTACGATGATCTCATCTCCTATTTTATCTAACATAGTCTTCAAGGTAGGTTCCTGACCTATTAATAAACAAAGAGAATGAGAAATAAAGTATACAGAAAAGTATTCACATACTGTCCTCTTTAACTCAAGTGTGTCCAAGTAAACTCCTGGACCAGAGCTTTACCTTGCAGAGACACTTGAGGGAAAGCAGTCCTTAGGACCCATCTCCATGGATAATCTTTTAGCAATAATCGCGCCTCGGATAAACCTCATTGGCTACGATGCTGCCACCACAAAGCTCCATGGATAATCTTGAGACCTCATTTCCTTCCTTTTTTTTCTTTCTTAAATCAGTGGTTTTTTTTTTTTTTAATTATTAAGATTTTATTTATTTATTCATGAGAGACACAGAGAGAGGCAGAAACGCAGGCAGAGGGAGAAGCAGGCAGGCTCCATGCAGGGAGCCCGACGTGGGAGTTGATCCCAGGACCCCAGGATCCTGACCTGAGACGAAGGCAGATGCTCAACCATGAGGCAGTGAGGTGCCCTTAAGACCTCATTTCTTTCTTTTTTTTTTTTTTTATTTATGATAGAGAGAGAGAGAGAGAGAGAGAGAGAGAGACACAGGCAGAGGGAGAAGCAGGCTCCACGCACTGGGAGCCCGACGTGGGATTCGATCCCGGGTCTCCAGGATCGCGCCCTGGGCCAAAGGCAGGCGCCAAGCCGCTGCGCCACCCAGGGATCCCCAAGACCTCATTTCTCAGTAATATGGAAGAGAAGTGAGGGAGAGGTAAGTACAGAGTGTCCCCCGCGTCTTCTGATTTTGGCAAATTCCGCCCCTGTAATAAAACACCCAGAAATGCTAGATACGAGAAACACTCTTCTGTGTGTACAGCCGAGCTTTCCTGAGAATACGGTCAATCTCCATGGGGTTCGGCAGGAAGGCAGACCGCAGACCAGGCAGGATGTGGAAGCTGATGCTGCGGCACCTGATCTGGGGGTGCAGGGGGGGCCTGTCCTACGTACCACAGCTTCTCAGCGACAACATTCTCTTGACGTTGCCGATCTTCTCGCTGATGTAAGAGCACAACTGTTCCAGGTCTGACGACGCCATGACTTCAGCCTGTGAAGAAAGACACACCTACAAAAAAAGCAAGGCCAAATTCGTTCACGTTCAGAATCTGATAGCAAATATCCAGGGAATCCTATCTCCTTGAAGAGTGCGGACACTCAACGGCAGTCAATTCTGCAAGACGCAGTTTTTAGCCAGAGTCCAGTACTGGCCGGTCCGAACCTCCTGGGGCCCGCGCATCCCGAACGCAGGTCCGGCGGCTGGGCGCAGGCGCACTCTTCATACCTAACAAGGACCACGCTGACGTTGTCTTTAGGGACGCGAAGTACCAAGTGCACGTGAACCTCAAACCACCCCCGCAGGACCGCACAGCACCGGGCCGGGCCCGGCCGGGCCGTGACGTGGGGCCCCCGCGGCCCGGAGGCGGAGGAGCGCCCGCCCCACGCCGCCGGGCGGCCGAGGCCCGCTCCCCGCCCCGCCCCGCCCGAGCTCTGCCTTCCGCCGGACCCCGACGCCAGGCGCCACCCTCGCGCGGGCCCGAAGGCAGAGCCACTCGCGGCGCGACCGCGGGCCGCCGGGACTCGCCTGGAAAGCCGAGGATCGCGACGCGCCACTCCCGCAGCCAGATTCCAAGCGCCCGCCCGGACGCGGCGCCGCGCAGGCGCACCTCGGCGCTCCCGGAACGCGGGCTCCGCGCAGGCTCCAGTTCCGGCGTCTTCCGGGCCTGCGGTGGGCGGGGCCTACGGTGGGCGGGGCCGGGCCTGGGTGGGCGGAGCCGAGGTGAGGGGGGACCCGGGCGGGGCCTGAGGTGGGCGGGGCCGGGCCTGGGTGGGCGGAGCCGAGGTGAGGGGGGACCCGGGCGTGGCCTGAGGTGGGCGGGGCCGGGCCTGGGTGGGCGGAGCCGAGGTGACGGGGGACCCGGGCGTGGCCTGAGGTGGGCGGGGCCGGGCCTGGGTGGGCGGAGCCGAGGTGACGGGGGACCCGGGCGGGGCCTGAGGTGGGCGGGGCCGGGGAGCGCGGGGCCGCGGAGGCCGGAGCCCCAGGCCCTGCGGTGTGGACGGCCACCCGGCGGGGGCCCCGCGCTGCGGGAATCAAATGGCGAGGCCCAACAGTGGGTCTCCAAGTTGGCTGCATGGTACGGTCGCCAGGGGCAGCTTGCACAAATGCCAGTGCCTACCCTGGACCCCAAGTCCCTGAAATCAGGCTCTCTGGAAGTGGGTTCCACGCCCTGATATTTTAAAAAGCATCCCAGGTAATCCCAAAAAGCACTCGAGTTGGTGCGCTTAAAGACAGGGACCTTGTTTTCGTCGAGTTTACAGCCTCTGTAAGGGCAAATACAAATTTAAACAAAGAATAAGGTTAATTCTTCCTGTTGGGAAAAAAAAAAAAAAAAGGGGAAAGTATCCCCAAGCTGGTGTGGCAGCTCCACAGTCATCAACTATCCAGATTCCTTCTATCTCCGGGTGCCACTGTCCATAGCATCATGCATTCTGGCCCTCGGGTGCCTGGGATGTAAGATAACCCTGCCAGGTCCTTCCTCAGGTCTTGTTCTAATTGGAAAAGAGGCAAAGGGTAACAGGCTCACTGACCAGCTGAGCCACCACCTTTAAAGAGGTTTTTTTGGAAGCCACACCCAGTGGCTTTCTGCTTTTCACAGGTCATTCACATCTGCCAAGAAGACTGAAAGAAAAAAATAATAATTAAAAAAAAATTTTTTTTAGGCAGTTAGATTGTGTCCTCAACCATTATAGGCAGGCGTTCTGTTTGTGAGGGAGAAGAAGAGCACAGATTCCGGATAGGCAAACAGCAGCCTTGGCCATTTCTACTTATAACTTTTAAAAACTTGTGGAAATTTTCAAACTTACAAAGTTAGAATAGGATAATGAACCTCATGCTCCACCCATCACCCCAGCTTCAACCATTATTAATTTTTCTCAAATCTTGTTTAATCTGTACCTCCTCTATTCTCATCCTTTTCCTACTGGAAGATTTTGAAGCAAATTTCAAATATTATATCTTTTCATCCAAAAACATGTACATATTTATCTCCTGAAGGTAGAAATTCTTTAAAAATTACCATGTTACCATTATCACACACAAATATTTTAACAATTATTTCTGAATAACAAATATCTAGCCAATGTTTTCCCTGATTGTATCATTGTTATTTTAAAAACTACTGGTTTGTTTGATTTAGAATCCAAGTAAGAGGGGCACCTGCGTGGCTCAGTCGGTTAAGTGTCTGTCTTTGGCCCAGGTCATGATCCCAGGGTCCTGGGATGGAGCCCCACCGTGGCAGGGGTGGGGGGTGGGGGGTGGGGGGGTGGTCCATGCTCAGCGGGGAGCCTGCTTCTCCTTCTACTTCTGCTGTTCCTCTTGCTTGTGCTCTCTGGCTTGTGCTCACCCTCTTCTCTCTCTGTTAAACAAATAAATAAAATATTTTAAAAAATAGAATCCAACTAAGTTACACATTATTTGATTGATACATTTTTTATGTTTCTTTTGATTTTGACACATCTACTTATCTAAAGCTAAAGTCCTTTAACAGGAACAAAAGTCTTTCATTGTAGGACTAAATGTAAGGCTTCAAATGTCAGTATCTAAGAAAAATAACACAGTAACACAAATTCACTCTGTAGCATCAAGGACAAACATTATCAGGTTATTTCCCATGAGAATATAAACAGGAAGACCAAGAGCACTGAGTACCAGAGGAGAGGGGGAGGGACACCTGGGTGGCTCAGTGGTTGAGCATCTGCCCCTGGTTCAGGGCGTGATCCTGAAGTGTCGGGATCGAGTCCCGAATCGGGCTCCTTGCAGGGAGCCTGCTTCTCCCTCTGCCTGTGTCTCTGCCTCTCTCTGTGTCTTTCATGAATAAATAAACAAAATCTTAAAAAAAAAAAAAGAAGAGGGGGGAAAATGTGGAAAAAATATACAAAAGAGCAATTGGACTGCACTGGCTGGTTCATATTTCTTCCTACAACAGGATTATTTATCAGGACTTCAAGTGCAATGACAGAAACTCAAACCAAACTGACTTAAACAGGAAAAAAAAAAGACTTTATTTGACTCATAAAACTGTAAAGTGTGCATGTGTGTCTTCAGTTACAGCTGGACCCAGGAACTCAAACATCGCATTAAAGAGCCATCTCCATCTCCCAGCTCTGCATTCCTCTGTGCTGATTCCAATCTCAGGCAGGCTTTTCTCTATGGTGACTGCTGGTACCTCTAGACTTACACTCTAATAGGTTAGCAGTTCTTGCTTTGCTAAAAGATCTAGCAAAAGTCCCAGGATCTCACCTCATTGTCCAATTTGGATCATGTGCCCAGTCTTAAATTAATCAGCATGTTTAGGGGAGTGGAATGGTCTGCTTGGCTAGATACCCTGGAGCTCGAGTTAGGACAATCCTACCCAAAACATGGGGTCTGAGAGTAGAACGGAAGCAGTTTCTGAAATGTTATTTACGGAGAAGAAGGAGGAAGTTGGGAGGGGTCGTTCTGAGCAAAAATTTGTTGGAGAAAAGCAAGAGTTCAGGGTGATGGTGAGTTCTCACTGGCTGAGTTGGGAGAGCTAGATGATTTCTCTTAGGGGATACAATGCACATCTTTCTCCCTTGGGGCCTATTATTAATGATTCCCTGCTGTTGATAATTCTGTTGAGGTCTATAATTGACAATTCTTTCTATAATTGACATGGAATGGTAAGACTCCCCCTTGTAGCCTCCTGACTCCACCTTAGAGAGGTTTCCCTTGATTAATTTTTACGAGAGCAAGAAGTAAGAAATTGCTGGATTGGTCCTTAGAAGAAATATAAGAGAAATTACAAGAGCAAAAAAGCAATGTGAACGCCAGTCTTCAGGGAAAAATAACATCGGGAAACTTATTGCGAACTTAGTCTAATTCAGGTATTTTACACATATTACCCTGGTTAATCTTTGTAATGAACTTATGGATACGTACAATTGTGATCTATGTTTTACAGATGGTGAACTGGGGCTTATAATTAAGTAACTTGCCCAAGTCAATATCTCAGAGCCTGTCCTCTTTCCCATGTACTTCACTTCTCCTTCTTCTCCTTCTCCTTCTCCCCCTCCCCCTCCCCTCCCCCTCCTTCTTCTTCTTCTTCTTCTTCTTCTTTCTTCTTCTTCTTCTTCTTCTTCTTCTTCTTCTTCTTCTTCTTCTTCTTCTTCTTCTTTTCTTTTTCTTGCAGCTGGGAGTCAAGTTTAATTTCTGGATGTCCCCAAATCAGAATCAACTAAGTTCCTCATTATAGAAGAAAGATCAAAAATCTCTTTAAGCAACAGGACTGCATTTCTGGGAAGCTCAGGAAATAGTTAATCCTCTGGTTTTGACAGTGAATAGTGTCAAATCTGGGGACAGCTTCATAGCTCTGCTTTCAGAAGAGGGAAGGCCCATTGTAGTAGGTGAGGTGCATTCTGAGATGTGTCACACTGATCAGAAATAGGTCTGACCCTTTGGGGCTAATAACATTCAAGGCATATTGCGTTTTTACATTTTCTACTAAACGACTCTCCTTTATAAAGCTTGTTTTTAGGAGCCATTTTCCAACTGACAACGTTAAAATCCAAGGCATATACTCATATGACAGTTCTCACAGGGATAATTTCCTAGTTCTCATTACCTGTCATGGCAGCTGAGGTGAAATCATCGCAGAAAATCAAACACCTCACTTTTACAATGTTTCATACCCTAAAATGATTTATACCTCTGGTGGCTTTTTTTTTTGGGGGGGGGTTGTGTTTGTTTGGTTGATTGAAGGTTGTTTTGTTTTGTTTTTTTTGTTTTTGAAACTAAAGGGAAGAGGAAAAAGAAAAGCTTCCTACACTGTCCCCCTAGTGTTCTTTCCTCATTTTATGGAGTTTATCCTGAGTGTACTTTTTTTAGTATTGTAGCTAGAGCCCCAATTTCTGGGCCACGAGAGTGCCCTTAACAGTCTCAGAGGTATGTTGTATGATTTGAGGCAGGGAAGGAAAGTTACCAGCACAAAAACTACACATACTCTCTCTCTCTCTCTCTCTCTTTCTCTCTCTCTCTCTCTTTCTTTCTCTCTCTCTCTCTCTCTCTCTCTCTCTCTCTCTCTCTCTGATGTCTAGAATTCTACCCATTAGTGAGAGAGAGGAATATGGGGGAAAATATCAGAGGACCTTTCAGTAGTTCCAGCTCAGTCATTAACTGGCTCTGTGAACTTGAGAAGTAGATGATTTCTGAGATTGTGTCCAGCTCAAAGCATTCAGGTTTTTTCCTTCTGAAAAGTATTTCCCTCTTCCTGTGACCTGCTTTTAAACATAAACACTGGGTGGAGAGTAATGGACTTTTAAGTTGGGGGGGGGGATTAAGACTGTCCCATAGATTTTCCTTTCCCTACTTCTTAACAAATGTCCCCCAAATAAGTTCTTTTTTAAAATCCTCTCCTTTCAAAAGTCACTAATAATTGGTAACCACCAGAGATAATGTAAGGTAATAAACTTCAAAAACTGATGTCAAGGAGGGAAAAACAATCCTATCATCACTTGAAATCATATGGAAGAACCCATATATCTATGAATTGAAGGAAATCTGAAGATTACCAATTGAGGGATACCCTTTCTTTCCCCCACTGTTCTTGGTCATTGCTCTTTCTCTCTCTCTGAGTCTAATTTCCTATTTCTCTTGGGAAATGACCCAAAGTCGAGAGTA